AGTTTGGATAAAGGAATGGATAGTTTTAGAAAATAACAGAATACTAAAACTAGATTAGGCATCCATCAGTCTTGAGAGACTATGGTAACGTGCTTTGAATGAAGGACTTGGAACAGCGTCTATTGTGGCTGAGAAGGCCAATTCAAGAGTGTCAATCTCTTCCACACTGGAGACAAATACAATCTGTCCAGCTCCCTGATTTTGTTGGTTTCAGGACTGCCTCTTTGCCTCAGCCTGCTGGACAAGTGTCTCTTCAACATGGGAGAGGCCATGATGCACAGCCTGCCTCCAGGCTGAACGCTCAGATGTCAAAGTTTCCCATCTGTTATCCATCTTTGGTCTTTGCTCTCAATCTAGAGAGATTAAAGAACTTTCCATCTGATCTAGTCGGGAGAGAGATGCCTTCTGTTGCAGTTCCAAAGACATGCTTCAGCATGACATCAAAAAAGATCCCAAACAGGGTAGGCGCAAGGGCACAGCCCTGTTTCACTCTACTTCAGATGTCAAAGTGATCTGATGTTGAGCCATCAAAAACTACTGTGCCCTTCATTCCCCCATGAAAGGACCTGATGATGTTAAGGAGTCGAGGTGGACATCCAATCTTGGGAAGTATTTTAAAAAGGCCATGCTTGCTAACCAAATCAAAGGCCTTTGTGAGATCTATGAAGCCAACAAATAGTGGCTGTCGTTGTTCCCTACATTTCTCCTGCAACTGTCTGAATGCCATGTCAGTGATGGATCTATTAGCTTGAAATCCACACTGTTATTCCAGATATGCAAACACCTGGAGTCTCTTCAGCACTACACGACCATGCAGTTTCCATATAATGCTGAGAAGAGAGATGCCACAGTAGTTATTGCAATCGCTCTGTCTCCTTCATTCTTATACATTGTGAAAATGTTTACATCCTTCATGTCCTGTGGAACTCCACCTTCTGTCCAGTAAAGACAAAAAATGTCATACAGCTTGGTGGTGATGATCTCTTTACAGCACTTCAGCAAGGATGTTATCCTTCCCAAGTGCCTTGCCGGAGGTGAGGGAATCTAAGGCCACTTTTATTTCTGCTGAAGTTGGTTCACTGTCCAACTCTTCCAAGACAGGCAGGCACTCAATGTTATTTAGTGCCTCTTTGGTTACTACATTCTCTCTGGAATACAGCTCAGAATACAGGCAGGGGAATAGGGCAGGGAATTCGAATTGCTAACCGTTGGTAGCGAAGAGGATGCTTCTTTGTAGCTCCTTCGCCCCAGCAGTTAGAGAGTGTGCGATCGGAGGAGGCTTCGGACTGCCTGGTAGGGTGCTGCTTTCTTCTTTTTAAAAACTGTTCTCGGTGGGTTTTGCAGCGTGGTTTTGGGCTGGGTGGTGGGATTATGTTTCTATGCTGTGATGGGTCTTGCAGGGTTTGTTTGTTTTTTGCCCCCCCCCTTTCTGAAGGGTCTTGCACGGTTTGTTTGCTTTTCGGGTTTTTTTCCCCCATTCCTGATGGGTCTTTCAGGGTTTGTTTCCTTTCTGCTTTGCTTTTTTTGCCTTTCCGAAGGGTCTTGCATGGTTTGTTTGCTTTCTGCTTTGCTTTTTTTGC